ACACAGTGTCTGAGTTTTTTCTACTAGCCAATACCATTGATCACTTATAGAATTATATATTAACGAGTAAATAATGATATCTTAATTGATATGCATTGACAAAGAATGTAGAACTTTCAGACAGTTTTTATTTTACGAGGATTGACCCAGGAATTACAGAGAAATTAGACTTTTGTCAGTTACCATAGTTACCAGGAGAAGAATTTTCCTGGCTGCCCCTGAGCACTATTTTGACATCACATGAGCGCAACCCCCTTAACCTTTTAATACTTAAGTAGCTTGGACCATGACACTGAACACTGTTCAGCGATCCAATTACAAGTTCTTAAATAATTGAAATTCATAATGATTGCTATGGTTACAAAGTTGGCAGGTCTGCACAAGCATGACTCAGAATGAATCAGACGAAAGGTTTGTTATGTATTGCCACAGAGAATAAGTATGTTTACCTCAATGCTGTGTCAAAATGATGTTTAACTATTTTCTAACAATGACATCATTCTTCACAAAAAGGGAAAGAAGTCAGAGAAAGAGGATACATTTTTCTACATGACCTACATTACATTATTACACATACAGTAGGTGACTTACTAACTTGTACCTTGGCACATGATAAGAAAAGGGGGATGGAAAATCACTGCTCTTCCTTTGGATCGGAGGTAAGTTGTGATGCAAATGTGAGTCTGCAGCATTCAAAGTGAGCAGTCGCCCACTTATGAGGCAAGAGGAAGACCTGTCAAAGCGTATGTTCATGCTCTGTGCAATTACAGCCTTATATGGGTCTCCTTTGGCCTATATCACAACAGCTCGACAGTAGAAGTCTTATTAAAAGTGTGTATGAGGCTGCGTCGGTTTAGGGTGTTTCTGTCTATTATTTTCAGCAGCTTGTGAAAATGTGCTTTCAAAAGTGTTGTATGAATTAAACGCAAAAATACTACAAGCATTGGTTATGTGATTTTTCTTTATGTTACTGGAAATCTGTTATCAAGTCTAAGTTTTTGTGTAGAGACCTTTTTCACTATCAATCTGCGCTCAAAAGTCAAATCTCAAAAGAACAACAACCACAACAACAACACCACAACAACAACACCACAACAACAACAACAACACCACAACAACAACAACACCACAACAAGAACATGCAGATAGAAGCTCAGCTCAGACACTTTTCTGTTTCATACACACAGATTCAAACTTTTCTCATGGACAAAGCAGAAATATGCATTGCCTCGAGCTATAATCTGCGTGTGCAAGAACTGTTTTATAGTATTTTCAGCCTCTGGGCACACGCTGCTGTAAAACACTTAGGTAAGATTACCTGAGATAGCTGCCCAACTTGCTGTGCAGAATCCAACTTTAGGCTGGGTCGTCCACACTCCACATCAAAGATTTCTAAACATGAGTTCACTGTCTAAGCATCATGTCTGTGAGAGTCTCTAGGGGAAGGCAGACTGGGCGTGCTGTGTTTAAACTTGTACCACCGCACGCATGCAAAGGGGCAGAACCAAAACAGCAAAGGCCGGCTACACCTGGGCCAGACCCACACTAAATCCCTCCTACATCCGTGGATACATTCACGGCACCTGGACTTATATACACAGAAGTCCCCCTTGTTTTCATCACCTTCTTTTCCACCGTGTCTTTCCCATTTAGTGGAATCAAGTCTGCATGTATTTTTAGCAGTAGTTCAAGGCTGCTCCCCTCCTTTTGGCCTCTTCTACGTGGCACAGTGAAGGTGGTAGTTATATTGTTAGACTCGTAATCACAGAGTGCACACTGGCGTCTCTGCTTCAGCTTCTCTATGCCATTATATCTCTGTAATTCTTTCTCCCCCTTCATTTGAACTAATATCTCAGGGTTGATGGTCAACAGTTCATATGTTTCTTGAGTGAAATGTTGTGATTTTTTTTCTTTAAATATTTGCTCTAGCAATACTGTATATATTACATTATCACATCTCTCTCTGTTTGTCTGTGTCCATCCACCTGTAGTGATAATAAACACTACTGTTTCATAACATAATAATTAACCACATAATTAAAGTTATAATGAATTGGAAGAATAAATAGGGAGTTTAAAAGTCTTAACTTATTCCCACTCCTTTTCGAGCTGGATTTTTGTCAATATTAATGAATAATATTATATAATTATATTCTGTTGTTGTTTTGTTGTTGTTCTTTGTTCTTGTTTGCCCTGGCTCGAAAAAAAGTATTAATTACTTCATTCAACATGAACAATATCGTTTCCATTGCTGCGCGGTACATAATGCACGTATAAATATCAGGTTTTGAAACTTAGGCTTAATATTATCTGAATAATTCTCTGCTGTAATGTGCGCAACGATGACACTGAAATTTCTCCACTGTGAGACTAATAAAGGTTTATCTTATCTTATCTTATCTTATAATCAATACTTAATATTTTATTCATCATTTTGTGTCATGAGGTTTAATGTTGGGCTGTAAAAAGGTAATCAATTAATCTATTATTGTAATTGCTTATTTTATTGTATTTGTTTTATTTTAATGGGACCAATATAGTATTTATGGTAGTCTATAAATTACACCAGATTGTATCCTTGTATCCATGAACACACTCTCATCCCCCCTGAGCTTTTGCACATGTTTTTAGTAGTAGGGTAAACCGGAGCACCCGGAGGAAACCTACACAGACGTGGAAAGAACATAAAAACTGCACAGTAAGAGCCTGTCTACAGGTGGAATCCAACCCAGGACCTTCTTCGAAATCGATCGTTTTTCTGAATCACACCTGGACCAAAACATGCCAGAGTTTTTATGGCATGAATACAACAGATAGACGTGGAATTTAAGTATTTCTAATCAAAATAACCAACTGTATTCCATCTAGTCTTGAGGGACATTGCTTTGGTTTTGTGCGATTTTTGAGCGATTGCAGCACAAAAATTACTCTGAGGTCCAGACATGATCATTCAGAATGACTTGCACCACGTCGCGCTCGGATGTGCAGAAAACCACCGGTGACAACAGCTTTTACAAAATGTGAGCGAGATACGAGCGTATACCCTTTTCAGCGCATTTTACCCAGGGGCTGTTTTTTAATGGGGTGACAGGACAGATAAGGGTGTGTGCTCTGTGAGATCGAAAAAAGGAACACCCTGCAGCCATGGATTTAATCACTTCCCAGCATGCATTTCTGTAGGGTTCAGAACAGCCATGGACGGAAAGTGAACCTCTCTCTTCCTCACCTCTGGACTGTCTTTCAAGAATAATATTATTGTTTAGATTTCAGGGTGTTTGGCTAATGTGAGGTTAGGATCAGTGTTACCTCTGGAGTGTTCAAGATCCCAGAGGGCCCTGAACGCCACGTGCCTGCAGAGTTCATTAGGACACAATTACACTCTGGGCGTCTCTCTCTGGCCTCCACCCACAGCCGCTATGCAGATGTTGAGATTGCACTAGAATAACCCCTTTTCATAGAGTGACCTGTGCTGACATGTCTGGCTCATAAATATAGATGGAATTTAATATTTTAGAGCATTTTAACCCTGACCTTAAGCAGGCAGTGGAAATGTTTGATTAAGAACCTGCACAAAAGTCACCTCTGTCATTCAAAGCACATATGTTATAGGAGCTCTACTGAACCATGATTATCCCCCGGTACCCCAGGACCTCTCCATGCATCAGCACTCTCACCATAAAGCCTGAGTGGACGTTTTAAATATTTAACAAGGTTTTAAAACCGTTAGACCTTTAGCTTTTGAGGCCAAATAAGTCTGGAAATATATAGATCCACCACGCCCAAAACACAAGCAAGAGAAAAGGCCCCATAGAACACGGCCTCATTAAAAAAGCCTATAATGGATGGCTGAGCGCATTAGCACAAGGTCTATCAAGGAAATGCCCCTTTGAACTGTAGTTATAGAGGAATAAACAAAAAGGTTGAATCAGACAACTAGCAGATAAGATCAATCTGCTTTGGATGAAAATATTCGCAAAAGAGGACAGCCTTTAAAGGTGAATTTGATTACACTGAAAGACAAGGTATAAAATGTTTGTGATTCTAAAAATCTGCTGCAGTATTGGTTTTAATGATCCAACTGGTGTTCGCATTCTGAGGTAACGTTACAGTTGTTTGATTGTACACCTCTAGGTACTAAAGTATTATTCAGTGAGCAGTGACACAGACACATGCGGCGGGTGGCCTTGAATTGGTTGTTTCTTAAGATATCGTCTTTCCTCCGGTCTCGCCCCCCACTCCTCCACTGCATTCCTGACGTGCCTGGAGGAGGCAGAGGGGGCCTCCAGGCAGAGAACACACCAACCATTTACAATGACACCGACATGGCCATTGTCTTTGTGCACAGGGCACGGAGATAGTAAAGAATAGCCTAACTCAAGAAAATGGTGATCACTAAAATTCCCTTCTCCTCAAGGAAAGTCATCATTACCATGAAGACCAGTGAATAAATATATTAATAAATAATGGTAGGGTAATTACATTACACCAGGATATTCAAGATACAGTACCCATTTTTTTTTTGGAGCACCTTATTGAAATCAAAGCCTCTCCACTGGAACTAGTGTGATAGTGTGACAGTGACCTCTTCTGGCGAAAACAGTACATAGCCACAGCAAATTGTAAATTTGCTGTCTGCATTCAAACAAATTACAGTTGTTAATTATAATTATAAATGTAATTTATCAACACAATTTTGCCATTGGACTTGGCTGATCTTGTCCACTTCCTGATTGTTACATGCTTCACTGCAGTAAGAACAAATCTATATCCAGTGGGCCCCACGCTGCCTGCATCTCCCTCCAGCTGTGTCTCGGGCCTCATCACAGTCACTGTGTCGTAGCTTAGAGCAACATTAACAGACTAATCCTCACTTATTTGAGCCAACACAATCGTATGTTTGTGGATCTGTCTGACACAGATAACTGTAGGATTAAGTGCCACCAAAGCATCTGAACACTGATACACACAGCACATAAGCGCACAGAGGCATGCACACTTACTGAGGTGTAGTTGGTTTTGCCAGAGCTATAATTGTAGTTGTGGTTAAGGTTCTGGTTTTCCTGCTCTCTGCACTGCAGACCAGCCAGATGTCTCTCCAGAGCAGCCCAGTCCATGGTGGGCAGAGGCTCCTCCTCCACAGCTGGGTCCTGCCTGTACCTCTCTGTACGCCCCACTGTCTCTGTCGCTGCCTTGGCATAGCGGATCACTCGGGCCTGCCCAGAGCTGCGTTGTGAGGTGGTCTTTGTGGCCTCTTGTCCTACTGCAAGAGGCTGCAGCTGGCTGCTGCGTGGCACAATCATATTTCCATTCTGTTTAAGTTCCTCTGGGCTTGAGTCGCCTGAGGCTGTATGTCCACTGGGGGTCAGAGAGGCTGGCACAGACTTTATATCGAGAAGTTCATCTTCAATGTGACTGTTTGCTGTTTTGATGTAGCTTGCATTATGGTCATTGGCCCCATCTCCACCTCCTCCACCTTCCTCTGGACCAGGATGCTGAGAGGAACTGTAGTGGTCTCGGTACTCGCTCTCCCACTCCTCAATAACCTTCTTCTTGTAGTGCTGGAAGTCCTCATCTTCCTCATAGTCCTCCAGAGCAGCCAGGTCGATGGATGGGGAGCAGGGCGTCACCTTGTTGGAGTTTGACTCCGAGCTGGAGCGACTGGAGACGTCGCTGCCCAGGTCCATGCCATCCTCCCGGTAATCCTGCAACAGACACAAGGACAAAAGTCAGACAGGGCCTTACAAGATCATTTCAAACACAAACACTTTAGGAATTTGAATTCACTAAAAAATGGTCACGACCACAACAGAGCACTTCCTGCTGAAGAGGAAACACAACTTCCTTCTCTCTTATATTGTTATCACAGCTTGGCACACTTTTCAGAGTAAAAAAAAATTAATTGAATTAGTTTCTTAACTAATTTCATCATGTCCAAGTTGTTTGAATCAGTCTGTGTCAGTTCTTGACTGCAGTCCAAAAATAGTAAATGATTAGTTTATGGTTAAAGACAAATGACAAATCTCCATATCCTCTCAAATGATTCATTCATTATTTCGAAAGGGGACCATATACAAATTCATACCAACGAGTTGTATAAGATCTTTGAGACAGGGGTAAATGATAGTAGTCACATGCTTGAATAACTATATCAAGAATATAAATATCAGCAATAAAAAGTGTATGCATTGAACGAACCAAAACACACAGAAATTTTGACTTTGTGCATTTTACAGAATCATGCTATTAATCAGGCTATTGTGTTTTCACGAGGCTAGACAGAATGAAATCCCCCTTCAGATTAATGTCAGGGCTATGATGGTCTTTGACATAACCCCCCCAAGAGCTCTGAATGGATTGGGGGCGGGTGGGGGGTAGAGGAGCACATGTAGCACACCAGTAACTAAAGCCAGCGTGTTTACAAGCAGACTACTTACTACTAAAGACAGCTCCGAATGTACAAGCCTTCTGTAAATCTGTAGAGTTTTCTTAGACTACGGCGTGACCAAGAGCTTACCCCCGTGTTCATGAAGCACTACGCGGTCGCCAGTTTGTGCTGCGTCCACCAGCCTCTCATTCCCGTCTCCCTCTTTCCTCAACCACTAAAAGTCAAATAAAGTGGATTCATGAGCAGGTTCTTCTCACGTTAAATCCACGGAGGCTTTCACACGCTCGCTCCACTCAGCTGATCCTTCCCCGTGTCCGTCTCTGGTTCCCGTAGGTGCCGACAACGCACGCAGCGTGGTGGCTGTTCCAGATATGATCAGACGATAAAAGCAGTCCAATCATGTCCGATCATGTCCAGTGAACGAGGATCTGCGTGGACTAAGTGACGGAGGCAGTGCGAAAGAGCCCCGGCTGGTGCGTGAGGCTTATCCGCTGTGGGATTAGGCAGTGCGCCGGCAGGCAGATCATAGAGGCAGGATTCTTCCAACAAAATACATGCAAATTGACAGCTGCGTGGTTCCCCACCCCTGCCCCTGCCTCTGCCGCTGGGATGTTTTGGGTGAATTGGGGGATGCGTAATTTATGTGACCGGGCTGGCTGCCCCTTCAAAAGGGTTGAGAAGGGATAGATGCACACGCCCAGGAATTGCGTGCAAGTGGAATTTCTCGATGCCGAGCAGTTGCACAATTACATCTGGAGTGACTTTTGTGGTTTTAGGCTACATAAAGTATCTCCACTGTAATCATTTTGTTTAGTAACACAGGCCTAGAGATGGTCAAAACGCAACCATTACTCAATTTGCAGCGTCATTCAAAGGCTACTCCTAATGATGTAATGTTTCCAACTAAAGTGCCAACAGGACAGCATCCTTCACCAAAGAGAAACGCCCAGCGATAGCCTCCACATTCAAGCCGTGATTTGACACACAAGAACTCGTGAGCGTAAAGCCAGAGCGAGCTAAAAGTGGCCAGCGTATATACTTACTGTCATCATGCTGGTGCCTTTCCTCGTTTCAAGACATGGCAATAGTGAGAATCCCAACCGCTCCCAACGGCGACGAGTAGTTACACAGCAGCTGGAGTTGACTTAAAGACGCGTAAAGTCTGCGTAGAGGCTGGTTATGCTCTTCAGACGTGGAAGTGACAACAAGCCGGTGGATAAGTCACTTGCACCATTGCTGTGAGCGCCTACCAGCCCACCAAGCAAGAAAAACGGAAAGATACAACAAAAAATAAAAATATGAAATGGTCGTTTTAAACTCCAAACAGGTCACCTCTGCCTGTACCCGGCTCCTATACCGCGCACGCACTCACGGACGCGCCAGAGGGAAATAAATAGGATGTGAGTTAAGTGCGTCCCCTTATATTGTCGGCGAGTTCACGCTCCGTCGCGCTCATCCAACCAGACAGCCATAATAACTCCGCTATTACACAGGAACGGCGCCTGGGAAGAAGTGGGCGCAGGGAAAACGCGCTTCTCCTTATAGCCGCGGTGACTGAAGCCAGCGGCGTGCCTCTCTGTCGCAACCCGAGGGAAGAAGCAGGAGAGGAGAAAGTGACGAGGACAAAACAACTCTAGCCCAGCCTCAGTGTGACTGCACCCGCTGACCTTGTGAAGGCAGCAAGGGAAAAAGGGAGGGAGATTGATGAGGGCAAAAAAGGAGGCAAATTAGTAAATTATTAAACACACCACTGGCCCTGAATTTAGAAGATGGTCACGTGAACGTCCAGAAAATGAGCTCTGAAGGTGTTCACTTGATTAACGGAGGTGTCAGAGCAGAGAATGTGGCAGGCTGTATATGGGTATAACATTAACATAAGGCGTATAAGCTTTATAAACTTAAGTGCACTGCTGAAAATACAACAGACTGAAAAATATGACCGCCGTGGGTTTTATGTTGTAGAACTATACATTTGTTCTTGTGGCTATTCAAATCCCTTCAGTGATTTGTTTGATGCCCAATAACTTTCATGTGCTATTTCAACACTGTTTCTTCCAACAAGATCAAAAACGCTACACAAAACAATTGACTGCTGTTTTTGGTTTGCATTGAGTTTGCATTCATTGCGTTCATAATTTAACTTACCTGCGCCACATTCAAGGTTACAATAAGTAACTTCACACAGACACAGCTGCCTTACTTTGTGAACATGGCTAAGATCTATCTGTATGATTGGTCTTTTCGGCTACGCACACATAAATTACTTTGAAAAGCTGGCTTGTTTTGCCGGAAAATGAAATGCTATTAAGCACAAGTTGAAAATGGAATCAGGGAGAGTCAAAGTCATTCATTCTTGATCTCACATTGTGTTGGAGGAGCGGCTTAACTGTTAAGGCGAAGATGTGAGGTTTATGTCGTCTGTGTGGCCACAACGTTGACTCGATCAGTGAAAAAACAGAATAGTTGATCTACAGCACACGGTCGCACACACGTGGCACCCACAGACGCACAAACACACAGATGGCAGCTGCAGAGCTTCAGCACAAGTGGGGTTAACACCAACATGCCTCATATCTTCATGAGCGTTCTGCTTCCTCCTCAAGCAGCTGCTGATTTACATATTCTAAATAAGACATCCATTTAAAGTCAGTCATAACCCAGACTCTTCTGCAATCGGACTAAACGCACTCCAAAGAGCTCACAAGTGTCTGTTAAACATTTGCAGAAGCAGTGACTGTGGCTCGGGCTGCAGTTCCTTCTCTGCGATGGAGGCCGGGATTAGTCGTGAGTGAGTGGTGGGCACGCTCAGATGTGTTTTAGATTGAATAGTGTGGAAAATTAATTAAGCAACCTCACAGAGATGGCGAGGGCCAGATATATTGGGCCATTGCTATCTATCCACCACAATAGTCAGGGCTGGTATAAAATGTGTTATAGATGCACAAAGACGTTGAGACAGGTAACGAGAGAGCAGCACTTCAAAGCCCCCTGACTGTGTGGCGCCGTACAGGGCAGCACAATAGGAATCTCCACAAAAAAAAGAGGCAAGAGTTTGGTTATCTTGCTACAAATACTGTTGTGATGTTGTCAGAACCGGCGTTGGGGCTGATGTTAAAACATAATGTCTCGAACAGCATTGCTTTGGTGGGTTCGAATCCTGGTCGGAACAGGGCTTTTCTGTGTGGAGATGGTGTTGGTTAGGGCTTTGAAGCGCCACATAATTTCTGAATGACGCAATACTTGTATCACTCTATTATTTTATAATTGTTCAATAAGTTATACTTCTCCCCACTCCCTTTCAAGCATCAGTGTGTACGTTATTGTATCTCTTCCTTTTGTCTTGTTTTTTTCTCTCTATTGAGGTCTTGGAACACAATTTGCTTGAAAAAAAAAGTGTGTTCATCATCGTGTGTCAGAGAGAATGGAACAATATCTGTACTCTTAACATTGTAAAGCGCTTTGGATCACCTTGGTCAGTATAAATGCGCTACATAAATAAAGATGAGGGACTTAGTAATGCGTAACTTTTGCCGTTATCGTCACTTTCTTGCAGCAGAGACTGATCAGAAACAGGGCTCCCTCTTCATAGCATCGGTTAAGCTTGTTCTCATGTGTTTTGATGCTTGTTTATCCTATCCATCCCTCTGATTTCATTGGTTTCGCGACACACGGTTCACTTCCTCAACACGAGGGACTCTTGTGGATATGTCATATTTCAGCGACAGTGTAATAATGTGAGGAAAAGCAGACAATAACAGCAGGAGGGACACACGCGTTTGGAGATTGTGGATCACATGGAGACGTGTGCGGGGACAAACGAGGACATAGGACACGTTCTATTCTTCACTTATTGTAAATGCTGCTATTGATCTATATTTGGAAGTTTGATGTAGCAGCGTGCCAAGCAAAGATGTCTGCTGTTGGACTGTACAGTGGAATGACTTACAGAATAATTAGTGCTTAATGTAAAACTGTAGATATTTTTCTTTCTGCACTTTCTAATTCCATAGTTACTTTTGCTGCCTGTGCCCTTCAGTAACTTTTGGGGAGAAATAATGAGTAACTAACTAATTACGTGGCCATGGTTGCATGCAAAAGCCAGATCCCTTCAGACGTTTTGAAGCTGTGCAGGGCAGGGCCTGGTTAGTACTGTGATGGGAGACCTCTGGGAACACCAGGTGCCACAGTAGGCGGCTGTAAAGTGCCAAACTACTAATGTGTCCTTAGGCGAGACACTTCACCCACATACCCTAGAATGAGTCTGGTGTGTGTACAAAGCCTCTCCACAAAATTACGAATATAGGTAACTGGAATTACACAAATACATCACAATTCTATAATAATATTCTGTCCTACAACTATCCTTTCCTGCCTTTGATCCTGTTGCAAATCAGCATGCCGTAATCAATGTTGGTTATTTAACTTGTCAATGTCCCTTGATCGAAGAAACAAAACAAAACTTCTTCAAGGCGCCACCCCTCACATCAAAAACATTCCTGATTGAAGAGGTGGGCACAGAGTTCACGTCTCACGATGGTCAACTTCAGGCTACGGCAATAACTCATGACAGCAAGGAGTGGTGCTTGTCAACCTGCCATTCACCAAGGATGAGCAGACCGAGAAGTCTTACAACTTTATACTCAGAAGTTTATAACATGAGAACATTATACTCAGAAGACTTAACAATACAACTCAACAATTTATTCTTGAATAGCCCTATAAATCACAGGAGTAGTGGACTTTATGAATTCGCAAACACAGATCAGAGAATCAAACAATTCAAATACAAGAAATAAAACAGAGAACACATTGGTATTGGTTCATAAGGGGCAGATGACCAATGTCCATAAATGTTGATAAATGACCATAAATCCTGTCCTGGAGAACCACTGCTCTTTTAGCACCAGATAACCATGTACAGAGTCATGTACGTCAGCATTCCCCATTCTTTGGTTTGAGCATATCTCCAAAGATCAAGAGGTAATTACACATGTTAAGAAGCTACAACGCCACAGTGCAAAGTAATTAAGCTTGCACACATCATAAAATGATTCATATATCAAGGGCTAAAATGTAATATATACATTGTTTCTTCAACCGTTCATTGACCTTTTTCTGCCTTTCCCCCACGGCCTCACTAT